GCAAGTTATGTAGTTTTAATTGTGGTCGTACCAACAACTCAGAATACGCACAGCACTCCCGCTTTGAAGATGATGAATTTCAACAACAACGATCGAAATAAAAGTCAACACAAATCATTTATGAGACATTCTTTGGAAAATAAAAATTAATATGAGACATTAAATCAGGTAACAGTCATTTTCGATGATGGTTTTGATGTTAAGCAATTATTATGTATTTATTATTTACATTTGACTGCTTTCTCATGAATGCACGATGTTCGGGCTCATCGACCATCAGTTATGAGTGATGCTTCAAACACCAAAACCATTTGATTTCTATACTTTCGTTTAAAATAACATGAACGAGGTCGTTTTGTACAATTTTTACGTTGCGTGTGTGTAATTGTCGTGGCTGCCTCTCGTTTTTTTTTTGTCATTCGATGCCATCATATCTGAAATGTGTGTGAATGATTCATTCAAAATATTACGATCACCTATCCGAAAAATATCATTTACATCTGAGGCAGGCGCACCATTTCGATCTTAAATTGGAATGCGCTCAATACAATAGTGAATATTTGCATTTCTTAAATAATTTTTATAATTGATGCTTATGTGGTAATAACTCGGCACACCTTTCACCCTCTTAACTCTCCGAAATGATGTGTTAACTTTTTTCTAACTGGGGATGACAATCTACCATTTTACCACCTATTTTTTTTCTGTGTGTGTTACAAAAAAATCATATGTGCGTCATTCTATTGCCTATTTTGCTCACTTTTATTTTCATGGCAAAATAGATAGAAAAAATAACGGAAATAAACTTAATTCCAAAAGAAATAGGAAATAAAATATTATTCATGAGACAAAAGAGAAGCCATAAGACACATTAATTTAAAGATGTATTTTCCTCTTGCAAACATAATTTAAAAAAAATGTGAACCATAGCGCACACAGAATAACAACAATGGAACTGCGACGATTCACGATCTTTACAACAACCGATATGAATAGTTAAAATGTACAATTTTCATGTGCATCAATGAAAATGGAATGAGAGTATTGCTGCAATTAACAGCTACACAGAAGTGCTACAGTGCATACCTGAAATTTTGCGAACCACACAATATAGTTGTTCACATACGCTGAGCTGCTTATTATGATTAATTTTTTAGTACACACGAATCGCTGAGAAGAAAAAGTCTCTTCTTCAAAAATTGGTGAAATAAAAGAACGAAGAGCTTAACCGAACAATTCAATTAACAATTTTATCTGTATAAATTCGTGAAAATATACTCTACAATAATCTACACAATCTCCTTGAACTTAATCACATGATATGCACACTACGTACACTGATATATATGTTACAAAGCATATGATGGATATATTTTTTTACCAGAACTATATTTCATTGGATTTTGTCGCTTAATCCAAATTGACAGTGAGTGTGCATTTGAATTGTTCGGCTCGGAAATGTAGTTCTTTATCCATAGATTTTTGTTTATCGGCTATTTGAATCGGCTATTGTAAGCTTGCGTTGAGCATTTAGGAAAAGGTGCCGACAGAAAAAGAGAGGCAGACGGAAAAGTGAAAAACTTGTTTTTTGATATCACATTTATTTTGTTGTTGTTTTTGTCTCGCTTGAATCATTGTAGTTTATACATACAAAAGCAGTTGAAGTATCACAATTTTTTTTTTGGTGTTGTTGGTATGAAATTTGTTCAAGATATTATTATACAGGCGCAATTATTCAATTAAATTATTTCGTTGAATAATAATATTCGATTACCTATACCGAATATTTGTGTATCGGAGCCTCATCGCATTCCGTGCACAAAAATGTTCCCCTTTCGTCCAAAACCAAAAGCACATGCAAAAAATGTATGTGTATATATATATGTATATCTTGAGAGCAAGATATAGGCGGAAGAAAATGATATGCTTCTGGTTAAATGGAGAATAAATCGGCTTTGGCTGGTGGCGTTCACTCAATACAACAAACATAATAATCGAGAGAGAGAGAGAGAGAGAGAGAGAATGAAAAAGAAAGAGAGAGTGTCCGTTGACTGAATTGTGAAAAAGTAATTGTGAAAATGTAAATACGAATGGTGGAATATCTTTTATGGCCATACCACCGTTTATTCAATTTTCGATTTAAAAGCGCCAACTAAAAGGAAAAATGATATTTTTTTTTTTATTTTGGGAAAAAATCAACCGATATACACACATGGTTGTTGCATAATTGGTTTTCTTGAATTTATTGGTCGGTTTTATAAAATACAAAACACATTGCGCCCGAGCGCAAAAATGTAATCAAAATAAGACACATCATCATACATAATGGACATACATTTTCGTCCCACATGGATATAAAAAAAAGCATAAATGTTGCAGCAGCCCATATGTGATTTTGCGGCAAATAAGTTTCACTTTGAAACCAACAATCCGACGTGTAACTATGTGAAACTTTTATTAAATGGATTTATATACATTTTTATGATTATTATTCTTATTACTTGTTGTTTTGTCTTACTGATTCATTTAATGAACTTTACATTTCCACCTGAACCGGAAACATTTTGTTTTTTTTTGACAAATGTCGTGTTTATTTGATTTGACATGCAGCTGAAACGTAAATCTTTCAAGCTAATTTAAGAGAAAAAAATAACTTTGCGTTGACATGCTGTCGCAAATGTATGATAATTATTTGAATGGAAATTTTCATAATTATACATCATAGATATTTCCTTTCGACGATGACGATCTTTATTATATTCAAATGAACTTTCTTTATATATAACTGGATAGTTTCATGGACATCATTTTTTGTGGGATTCTATTTTATAAGTTCTTTTTCCACCGAATTTCACCAGATACAGTAAATGATGACAATAAAATCAGGAAGTTTAAAAAAAAACATCTTGGAAATCAATGGAGCCAAAGAAATGCAATTTCATCGTTTGCATAAAAGAAAAATGTATGCTACTACTGATCTGCTTATTTTCATGTGAAATACAAAGGAAATATTGTGTTTGCACGCAACATTGTAGTGAAAATCGTTATGACAAGGTGTTATATCAAGATGTGCAACTTTTGCCCGCAAAATGCTTGAGTAAGTTTCAAATATTTAAAGCAATGTGAAAAACAGCATGCTGCAATAAAAGATTTAAATGTATTGCGCTATATTCAATTTCATGTCTAATTTGAAGCGATCATATAGCTGCCGTTGCTTATCTGCGAATTCGATATGTTTTCTTAAGCTCAAGCTCAATAGCTTGTGTATTACTGCTTTTTTTTTTCTTCTTCTTTATTTCGTATTGTTTTCATTTGCTTTCGTTTTTTAGTGTTGTGTATTTTTTTGTTCCTTGATTACTATGGCTCTTCTGGCGTTTCTAGTGTTTTCCTTTCTTATTATAGTCAGCACCGCACTCATCATCGTTCATTTGTACCAACAAAAATTTCTTATGCGCACCGACTAATTAGAAAAAGAAAATAATCGCGAACACTCAATATTGGAATTTCTCTTCTTCGCACATGTCGTTTTGCTTTTTCTTCGCTTCTACCTTTTCTTTTCATTTCATTTCTTCTCTCTCAGTTCATTTATGCCGTGAAATTGGAAATAATGAAACGAACAAAAACTAATCTATCCGCAACAAGAAGGTATGGTTCGTGAGAGAGAGAGAAAGAAAAAAAAATCACTCTAATGGGCTCAAAAATAAATCATAACTAAACAAAAACAGCAAAAATTGAACGAGCACGTCAGTAACAACAATGGCAATGAGTGTGTGTGTGTGTGTGTGTGTTTGTGATCAAAAGCGCACTCACACTCAATTTCTTTTTTTATGTTGAAATTAAATGTACCACAGAAAAACGAAACAAAAAATTAGATAGTATAAGTTTGGGGCTGTTTGCCATTCGCTGTTTGTTCGAAGAACATGCTCTCAAATTGAAAATCATAATTAAAATGCACATTTGAATTATGCATGCAATAAAAACACGACATGAAAACGATACAACAGCACAACGTGAAAATAAGAAGAAAATCAAATGGTGAAGCAAAAGAAAGAAAACAAAAAAATAACAATGTTCACAAGAAATAATAGATCACCGTCACTCTCTCACACTCATGATGCTATTGTGTGTGCGCGTGCGTGCGATGTGCGCATCTATATTGTTGTTGTCGTAGTCGTCGATTAGACTCGAGAAAAGTGAATGAATGAAATGAGATGTAAAAAATTCATAAATAATTACTTATTATGGAGAGAAAAAAAACTATATATATATAGGTGATGCATTGATTCGCATATTGTTTTCACCTCAGCATCGTGTTCATAATCTAATTGTCTATTCAATTTGCCGTCTCACAGATCCCAATTCAATTCATCTTTTTTTATCACCAATTCTCCTTCGTTCAATTAACTATATTCATGTGAAATTTTCTAATGCCCTAGTTTTATCGCAATTTTCCATGACATTCGCATAATTTTTTTATTCTACATGATTCAATTTTTCATACTCTCATTGTTCTAACAATGTTTGGTTTGGTTTCGATTCTACTGTGGGAACCTTAATATCTAATTCTTCGGAAGAGTTCAACATTTCTTTTTTCTTTTGTACATTTATATATAATATTAAAAATGATATTGCTCAAAGCTCAAGAACCTTTTCGCCAAATTGAAATGTTTGAAAATAACTACTCATTTTCCAATTAAATGAATTTATCTATACATAAATATTGTTCTTAAATCTTGAAATCTTCTAACTTTCACAGAACGAAACCAATCGGATCACTTGTTTATTATTTTGATGTAAATTGATTTTCATGCGATTTTTATTTTGTTTCTTTTTAATAATGGTTTCACTTTCATTTTAAATCTCTTGAATTGAAGAGTAAAAATGATTATCATTTTATCACCAATTAAATTGTCTTTATTTTTCGACTCCGTTTGAAAACTAATAAACATTGCATTTTTCATTAGAAATTCATGATAATAAAACATATATTTTATACGTACCGGCTCCGAACAAGGCAATAATCAAAACTAAGCACTGTTTCATTTTGAATCGAATTTGAATCTAAAATCGAAGAGACGAAAAAAAATGAAAAAAAAATATGTTTCGGCTTGTGTAAAAAAAATATTCGCCACTATTTCGGTAAAATTTGATATCCAATTAAATCACTGTAACAAACAAAAAAGAAATGGTATGACATTTCATAAAGAAGCCGTGGATCAAACAACAACAATAACAAAATTTAAGTGAAAAAATGCCAATGATTTTAAGTTTTCTTTCAAAATTCAAAATTTTTGTGAATTTTAACAGAAAATTAACTAAAATTATTACCGTCGCTTACAATCAGCGTCTACTATTGGAAAAAAACACACACAAAAATTTCGTATCAACTGTGCTGTGAGCAACACAGCCGTTCTCTTTTTATACCCATGAAGAGATTCAACGAAACCGATTTTTTTTAGTGTGATCGATCAAATGTGGTATGAGTGGGGCCACGGATTTATTGTTCGTTTCGTGTTTGGAACGTTGCTATTGTTAATAATATTTGTTGTTGCCTTTTTCTTCTTGTGTCTTTCTTTTTCACTCTTTTCTCTGCCAATTTTCTCTCATTCTTCGGTATGGTTCAGTAGTTTAAATTTGTTGCAAGATTGCGGTTGTGCTGGCGAACGAGAATTAAAAGCGCTAAAGTATTGAGATGCGTGCATGTCTGTGTGTGTGTGTATGTGCGTGTATGTGTATGTGCAACATGTGTGGATCGAGTTCGCGTATCTCGTTTAAACGCCTCAATAAAACAACATTTAACCATCAACCGAGTGCGCTGGGTGCCACACATCAAACACGCAAACATACATACACAACGATATGCAACATCGTCGACTCAACACCAAACACAATCAACTTAAGGCCATAAACCTATCTCATTACCTCTTCTTCTTCTTCTTATTTCTTCTTTCGGTTGATTCCATCGAATTTATCAATATTAATCAGTATTTTGTGCATGTATGAGCAACCGAATTCGATTTTATTTTCTTTCTTTCAAACAAGGCGAATACAAATTAATAATTTCGAAGCATCTAGCAAAATCTGTCTGGCAATCAGAGTAATTGGCATACAAAGAACGATCACACTTCACATTGACAAAGTTCGTTCGATTATTCATTCTTGCAAATTATTGATGATTCTTCAGATTTCAGTCGTCGAATCGATTGATGCAAGTCCAAAATATACGCACACCGGATATTCGTAACAAACATAAGTTGAGAGACACTCAACATTGGAGGAATCAAATGAAAAACGCGACAAGGAAAACAAATATGTAAAAATTATATGCAAAAATATACGGCTACAAGACAACAGCGATATAACCATAGAGAAATGCATTCACAAAACGAAAGAGAAATATGTGATATTGTATTGAGTGCAAAAACCGGGAGAACTGGTTATAATTTAAGTACGTTACATATAAATTTTTTTCTTCTTTCCGTTACCACGGCTTATGTAAACAATTTGTACCGATCACAAACGGATCAAGCAATACAAAAGCATAACATTGTTTGAAATGTATAACACATCATCACAGGCAAATGCGATATCACCGAAGATGAAAAAGCATGGACTAGATATATGCTCATTTATGTTTTAACCTTTAAAAGTTAATTCGCAAACAAATAATAACATAATTGCAATATAATCAGCAAGGCTGACACAAGCATTTTCAGCTGAATCGCCGATAACATAACATCTATTTGAGTGTGGAATTCAAATTGGACGGACAAAAGCCATTGAAATGGTAATATTCGTCATATTTTGCAGTTTCTTGGTATTGACATGGACTTTTTGTTGTTGTTGTTGCTGTCGAAAATTCCATTGCAATGCATTGCAACGCCATCAAAAGAACTATTGATAGCTAACAATGACAATGCAAACAGTTTCCTGTTATGCGAACACAGCGTGTCACACGTGCCTATTCGTGTAGAGTATAAATTGGTTGAATGTTGTTGGTTTGTTTTTTGCTTCTTTCATTTATTATTGATTTTTTGGCAATTGAGCACACTTTGTTGAACGTTCGTGTGGTGTTATTTAATTTTTCCAGCAAATTCATGGCATTTGTGTATTATATTATCTTATAATCAAATTCAATATTATGGCTTAAATTATTGCATTTTAATGAAAATTTCCTAGAACGTGTTTAGCCCGCGATTATACTTTATGAGATAATTCGGTTGGTGTACGAATCGAATACAGTGCGCAAAAAAGTGTTGTTTGTCGAATTGTCGGTTATTGGAACCATATTTGTTTGTCGTTTTATTATTTAAAAGTTGTTAATTTTTTTCTTGCACACATATTTCAGCTTGGTTCAGAGAACCAATGAGATATTTTTGCTTGGTATATATTGTGTTTGGGCCGAATATTGATCACCTTTTTAGCATGCCATATGCATTTTGTCACTGTCTGTCGTTTACTTTGTTGTCCAATATTTACCAAACGGTTTTTTTTTTCTTTTGAAATTCTGAAAATATGATTTTTTTTTAAAAATATGTATTCAATGAAATTGGACGTGGTTGGCCGAAGTGGAACCAATGTATTGTGAATGTATTGGCGTTAAAAGCACTAAACTGAAAGGAGAGCTTTAGAAGGATCAGCATACGGAACGCGCCGAGAAATAATATTTCAAGGTTTTTTTCTCGATCGAGTTGAAGATCATATTTTCGGTGTCGTGTTGTTTTTTACTCTCTTCCAACTTTTCTCAAATAGTGTTGATGAAATATGTTTTAACAGTAAAACAATCAAAATCGTGCCTTTGCAAAGCGGTTAAATGGCATAACGTTTTATATAATGAATGTCGCTTTTTTGACTCTTTTTTTGCTGTAATTTCCTCGAAATGTTTTAGTTGTGATAGGCGTGTGAGCCAAAAAATACAGCTCTGTGTGCATGTGAAACAGTTCATGCGCTTAAATGAATATGGCATGGAAATGGCACCATACATATGACATCGATACTCGTACTTTCTTTCCCACTTTCATCCCGAGCGCGGTGTAATGATGCCAAACCGAAATTGAATTAAATATAATAGTTGCACTATGTCGAATACATGAGTGTCACAAGCAAGATTTCAAAAAAAATATCCGTTCTATGTAAAATGTCTATTTTTATTGACGTTTACTAAACGTCGTTTGGGCAATTATTAAAGTGATATACAGTGCAAGTGAAAAAAAAAATATAAAAAAACTAACTAGCATTGAAAAAAGTAAAATAATGTTAAAAACGGTGTGGAATGCATCATTAATTAAATTAGTTGTAAAAGCATATGGAAAGAGGGGCCATGTTTATGTCTATGAGTATGTTAAATGTGTAGAATTTAACATTTGACAACAATTATACAAGGACAGCTAAAATGCACATAGCGATGACAACACATTCCATTTTTCTCGTACGAAATGCGCGCTAAATGGTATGGTTTTAAGGTAAACAGACAGTAATTGAATTTCGATGTCATCAAGTGTCAATTTCGACTAAGTGATAAGCTACCGAACTGATATATTTTGCTTTGAACATATTTTTGCTTATATATATGTGCAAATGGAAGTGTATTCAGTAGACTTCTAATTTTTTTCTTTCTTCTTCATGGTAACCTTAACGGTACACTGTTTACATTATCTTTTCCTATATATCTAACTACAGATTCTAGAAAGACGAATGAAAAAAAACGAGTTCCTTTTTTCGGAAGTGATTCCCTATTATAAACAAAATTTGTGAGTGAATATAATGAACGTATAAACAAGAGTTTTATGTTTGTTTAAACGAATCACACATAAACCATTTAATTATGTTTGTTTGTTTGTTTAGCGAAGATGCGTAGGATTGTAAGTATTTGCTTAAAAATCAACTTGCCATCATCGAACGTATGAAAACTGTCTTTTAATGCATAAAATATAATGTAATTTTCAATTTGCGATCAACATAAAATCCAATGGAAGTTTGTTCGGTTCGATTATATCTTGTTGAAAAGAAAGCTGGGAAAAATCATAATAAAACCAAATACAAAAACTAACGTAATATACTTTGCATAATAAACATTTCAACTCTTTTCTTATTGGTTTGTGGGATGTAAGATTCGACAAAAAAATCACCAAATAACTTATGCTCAATTATGTGCGTTCGCTAATGATCACTTTTTAACGTCGATAGAGTATACCATGACACGTGGATGACACATATATGAGATTGGAGACTTTTTTATGCGAGTCTCGCTAATCAGCGCCATCATACCTGACATCCCTCAACTAAATTTACATCTCTAGCATGTAAACAAATTTGCTCTATGTAACGTAACACAAATGCACATATTTATTATTTATTTTTATTTTAAGTAATATATTTTTCCTTTATGATGAAAATGATGAAGTATTATTTTTCTCCGACGTCTCCAACCAAATTTACGTAATGTATTTTACGTATTCATGTTTTTGACAGGTCATTTGTCAATTTAGATTTATGATATTTCGTCATTTTTCGCATTTTGAAGTCGCTGTAAATAGCGTTATAAAAATGGTGAGAAATAAATATTAGACTGATATATTTTTTATCAGTAATTTATTCTTTAAGTTTATTTTATCTCTTTATTTTGTTTTTTACCAAAAGCTGTGTATTGTTTTATGTTTGTTTTCAAATATTTTATGTAACCTAACAAATGGGTTGGTGATTTGATTGATATTGAAACAGGACGTTCCAAATTGACAAATGACTTGCCAAAAACATGAATACGTAAAATACATTACGTCAAAAATGTCACAATCTCTCCCATCTCTCCAAGCCAACAGATGGCATTAATGTAAACCATTCGCAATGTGTCTCTTCTTAGAGCCATCCACTTGTACCATGACCATTTAATAATGTGAATTTTTGTCTCAAGTATTCGATTGTTGTATAATATGATTTGCATAAAAAATTAAGCGATTTAAGAGCAACGATAAATAGAAAGCATTATGAAAGCACAAAACTCAACCATCACTTGTATGACAAGAAGAAATTATGAATTTGGCGCACTTCATACAATTCGGGATTAGAATTTTACTATTTATTCTAATAATAATGGAGCAATTTACATCAAATCGAGTAAGTGATATTAATAATGTGATGGCACACGGGAAAATACAGGACCCAAGAACTCGAAGATGTGCCAAAACATAGAAAGTAATTTAATATTTGAAGAAGTATACGTGTATGGTAATTTTGAAAAATAATCACAGAAATGGCATAAATTGAAAAATGTCAAAATTCTATGATTTGTACAACATTTAGAATATAACATAGTCAATGGTAAAATGAAAATGACACAGTGTTGTAAGCGTATGAGAATGCAACACATGTTTAATGGAGCGAATCGATCAACATAAATGTCAT